CGAAAAAAAAAAAAAAGGGTGAATAAGTAGAAGCTCAAAAGGGACCGTGGAAAACAGATGAGGGAAAACAAATGAAAAATACAAAAAAAAAAAAGAAGAAAAAAACAAAACATCACAGAGAAGGGACACGTTTGCTTCATATAAATTCTTTATTGGAGCGTGACTTTCTGAAACCGAATAGCGACCGCAAAATTACGTTTGATTATTTTTTTTGACTGGCTTGAAACGAGTAAAAGGTGAGATGCGAATATTCTGAGCCAATATAATTACATTACTGTCCATAGCAACCAACGCTGAGCCCTAAGGGTTCTGCGTAATAAAGAGGCTTAGCGATAAGCCTGAATGGACATCACTGACCTCCGAAGAACTCGGATCAATTCGATTCGTGAGATGGAGCAGAACCTTTATCACCTCCATGTGAAATTCAGCTTGATAGCTTCTGGTCAGTATATCGGTATTGACGTTGTCGGAAGTATTTCAACTGAAAGAGAAAAGAGATGGAGTGTTATTTCGCCATTTGTCTTCTGCTGCACTTGTTAATATGGAGTCTCGATGGAGAGAAATCTGGGCTAATCCGTACTTGGTTATTCAAACACGGCGACTACAAACTCGTCCTTTAAGAGAAAGGCCAGCAAATATATTAGTAGATTTTTCTGTAAAATTTTAATTTATAAAAAAAATCTTCAGCAGTCTAACTGGAATAGCGTCGTGTCCGAGTGGTTAGAACATTCGCGTTCCCATCATGTGACACTAATTTAAATTTTACAATGATCAGTTTATCAATGAAGTAATGGATTTAAATAAAATCGACTAAATCTTTTCAAACCTTTCTCTCTCTCCCTATATAGAAATCTTGCTTTAATATTTCCCCTTTTCTAGCAAGATTAATGCTCGACAAACGTACATATAAGTTTCAGATTAAAATAAAATTCTTTTCATTTTTCATTCAAAATACTATATTTTAGGAATACGTTTTCACAACATCGCCCACGTGATGCCGACGGGATCATATTGAAAGGGAACGCTGATCATGAAAAATTTAGAGTTGTCTGTTTTCATTAATCTTACTCTAAGAGTAAGACTAATGAAAACAGACAACATCATCCATCATCTTTTCATGTTGAATTAAATATGGTCTAATGTTAATTATGTTTTATGAATATGTCCTGAAGATGGTCTACTAGACCGAAACGTCCGACTTTGACATTATATTAACATTAAAACAGCATAATTGCATATTAGGATTTTTGTTTGTTTTTTCCGTATATTTTTCTTCATTATCTATCTATCTATCTATCTATCTATCTATCTATCTATCTATATATATATATATATATATATATTTATTAAAGACATTTTTATTTATGTTTAACGTTGTTATTTTTATAGATACAAGTATTTAAGCAAATGCTCTGTTTATGATAAACAGTATTAAATAACATTTACCGGCCTGAATGTCCGAGAAATTTTCATAGAAAATATTCGTTCATAGACAGGATTCGAACCTGCATCCTATACGGAACCGCCATATACGCTGGCGTGCCTTGACCACTGGCCACCATGAACCTTATGGTAGACAAGGTCGAATTTACTGTTATAAACTACAATCTTCCATGAATCTCGTACATTCATAACTGCTCTGGCGTATCGAATAAACAAATGACGTCATATGTTAAGAAATGGACGAGGTCCGACAATTTATTTATTAAAGACATTTTTTATTTATGTTTAACGTTGTTATTTGTTAGATACAAGTATTTAAGCAAATGCTCTGTTTATGATAAACAGTATTAAATTTTTACCGGCCTGAATGTCGAGAAATTTTCATAGAAAATATTTTCATAGACAGGATTCGAACCTGCATCCTATACGGAACCGCCATATACGCTGGCGTGCCTTGACCACTGGCCACCATGAACCTTATGGTAGACAAGGTCGAATAACCTGTTATAAACTACAATCTTCCATGAATCTATACATTCACAACTAAATGGCGTATCGAATGTAAACAAATGACGTCATATGTTAAGAAATGGACGAGGTCCGACAATTTATTTATTAAAGACATTTTTATTTATGTTTAACGTTGTTATTTTATAGATACAAGTATTTAAGCAAATGCTCTGTTTATGATAAACAGTATTAAATAACATTTACCGGCCTGAATGTCCGGTAGAAAATATTCGTTCATAGACAGGATTCGAACCTGCATCCTATACGGAACCGCCATTTATTTTTATAGAATTGTAAATACTTTCTATAAAATATGGAAGATTGTAGTTTATAACAGTAATTGACCTTGTCTACCATAAGGTTCATGGTATGAGTGGTCAAGGCACGCCAGCGTATATGGCGGTTCCGTATAGATGCAGGTTCGAATCCTGTCTATGAACGAATATTTTCTATAAAAATTTTGACATTCAGGCCGGTAAATTTATGAATGTACGAGATTCTGTTATGAATGTACGAGATTCATGGAAGATTGTATTTATAACAGGAACCATAAGGTTTATGAATGTACGAATTCTGTTATGAATTACGAGATTCATGGAAGATTGTAGTTTATAAGTAAATTCGACCTTGTCTACCATAAGGTTCATGGTTGAGTGGTCAAGGCACGCCAGCGTATATGGCGGTTCCGTATAGGATGCAGGTTCGAATCCTGTCTATGAACGAATATTTTCTATGAAAATTTCTCGGACATTCAGGCCGGTAAATGTTATTTAATACTGTTTATCATAAACAGAGCATTTGCTTAAATACTTGTATCTATAAAATAACAACGTTAAACATAAATAAAATGTCTTTAATAAATAAATTGTCGGACCTCGTCCATTTTTTAACATATGACGTCATTTGTTTACATTCGATACGCCAGAGCAGTTATGAATGTACGAGA